GGGAGGGGGTCTACCTGGGGAGCACCTAGAGCGAGGAAGAGCGGCGGGGGGGGGGGGAGAGGGGCAGTGCGGTAGGGGAAGAGACGGTAAAAGGGAACCGACTCGTCGAACGTGACGTCCTGAGAGGGGAAGACACGGCGCGAGGTGGGGTGGTAAAACTGCCAACCAGGCGCGTCAGGGACAAAGCCAAGGAAAACACAGGGAACAGTGCGGGCGGAGAGCTTGTCCGCGGTGGTATCGCGGACAAAGGCACGAGCACCCCTGACCCGGAAACGTGACGCATCGCCAACCTTCCCCGTCCACAGCAGTGTGGGCGAGGTCTCCGGCAAGGAGACACGGGGCCAGAGGTTGAGCTGATGCGCGGCGTACCGGACCGCAAACGGCCACAGAAAATGGGGGGCAGCCGCATGGATCATGGAGGTACGAGCGACCTCCATGACTAAGCCAATGCGACGCTCAGCAACCCCATTCTGCTGCGGAGAGGCCGGAAGCGTGAACGTCTGGCGGATGCCGTGCTCCGCACAGAAGGCTGCCAAGAGGTCGGAGGAAAACTCCCCACCTCTGTCAGAGTGCAGACGCAGGACGGGAAAATCCGTCCCGAACCGCTCGCGGAGCTGGAGACTAGTAGCGCGGATCCAAGGGATCAAGACATCAGGGACCTCACCCTTGGTGTGCAAGGGGAAGACCGTGGTGTATCGCGTGTAGTCGTCGACGACCAGCAGGAAGTACCGCTCGTGGCCCTGTCCACAGACGCGGGCTGGGCCCCACACGTCCAGGTGGAGAGTCTGCAGGGGAGCCTCTGTGGGAGGGAACGAGGAGGAGTGAGGAGCGGCGCGCTGCAGCCCCTCGACACAGGGAATACAGGGAGGAGCAGGCGAGGGTGGGAGGGGAGGGAGAACCCTGGGAAGACGAGAGACAAGGACACGGCGGTGCATGCTACGAAGGCGCTGCACCGAGGGGTGACCAAGGCGGTGGTGCCAAAGGAGGGTCTGGTGCGACAAAGCGCGACACGAGCAGGGGGCCGCTAGCTGACCTGAAGCAGACGCAGATGCAGCGACCTGAGGGGACACAGTAGTCAGTGTGTACAAACTCGAGCCAGGTGCACGGGTAAACGTGGCCAGGTGCCGGCCCGTCCGGGAGCACGTACAGTGGGTCACGCGCTGACCTCTAGGAGTGAACTGGTCAACCCACTGGTCCTGGAGGTCAGCACCACTCACCAAGTTCGTAGAGAACGAGAGGAGGTGAAGACCTGACAGGGAGCCAGACGGGACCGCCGGACACGGCAGGACCGTGGAGGAGCGCGCAAGGACTGGACCCCCAGAGGGGTCTGCCAGGGATACTGGAACCGGCCGGCTGAGCGGCGTGAGGGTGATGCTGTCGCGAAAGAAGGAGCGGGAAGCACCTGAGTCAAGTGTGAAGGTGTACAAGGCCTCAGCAGGCGCAGTACCAAAGAGAGCAGACTCACTAGCACCTGGAGCAGCAGCCTCACCAGCAACCAGAGCAGGAGACGCACTAGCACCTAGAGCAGCAGCCTCACCAGCACCGAGGGCAGCAGGCTCTATACCTGGGTCAGGCGTGGCGCACAGGTAACAGGTACTGTCAGCACTAGTAGGCAATGCATACATGGCAGTGAGAATAGCATCATAGTCAAGAGAAAAGATATCTACCCTCTGCCCAAGTAGCTCCACCCAGTCGGGGAGCTCAGCCTCGTCGCCAAACTCGGTACACCAGGCGTCACTCAGACGGGCGAAGCAGCGGGACTGGGTGTGACTAAGCGTCCCGCAAGTCTGACCCGTCCGATCACCTGTGCGAATGACGTACGGGCAGCGAACGGTACTCAAAGACCCCCTACTCTGAGCGTACCACTCGTGAAGCTGCTGGGACGTAAGTGTCTCGCGTGGACGCCGCTGCAGCTGCAGCTGGCCACTGCCAGACGCTCCCAACTGACCAGCTCTAGGGCGACAGCTACGACGACTACCGCCACAACCCCAACTAGCGTACCACTCACGTAACTGCTGGGGCGTGAGAGACTCGCGCGGACGTCGCTGGAGGTGCATTTGGCCACCGCCAGTACCAGTAGCAGTAGCCTAGCAGAGCAGGCGCGGCAGGCAGGCAGACAGGCAGGCAGGCAGGCAGGCAGGCAGGCTGGCAGGCAGACAGGCAGGCAGGCAGGCAGGCAGGCAGGCAGGCAGGCAGGCAGGCAGGCAGGCAGGCAGACAGGCAGGCAGGCAGGCAGGCAGGCAGGCAGGCAGGCAGGCAGGCAGGCAGGCAGGCAGGAAGGCAGGCAGGCAGGCTGGCTGGCAGGTAGGCAGGCTGGCAGGCAGGCAGGCAGGCAGATGGCGCGGCAGCGCGCTAACAAGGCAGGTGCTCACCAGTGGCGGGAAGAGCAGGCGCTCGCCGGGCGAGCAGGGCCGGCGCTCGGCGGGCGGCTGCACGGGGTCCAGGGGCGGCGTCGCGGGATCCAGGGGCGGCTGCACCAGGGGCGGCTGCTTCAGGGGCCAGGGGCGGCTGCTCTGGGTCCAGGGGCGGCTGCTCGAGGGTCCAGGGGTGGCTGCACCAGGGGCCAGGGGCGGCTGCTCTGGGTCCAGGGGCGGCTGCTCGAGGGTCCAGGGGCGGCTGCACCAGGGGCCAGGGGCGGCTGCTCTGGGTCCAGGGGCGGCTGCTCGAGGGTCCAGGGGCGGCTGCACCAGGGGCGGCTGCTTCAGGGGCCAGGGGCGGCTGCTCTGGGTCCAGGGGCGGCTGGACCAGGGGCAGCTGCTGCAGGGGCCAGGGGCGGCTGCTCGGGGTCCAGGGGCGGCTGCTCCAGGGGCGGCTGCTCCAGGGGCGGCTGCTGCAGGGGCCAGGGGCGGCTGCTGCAGGGGCCAGGGGCGGCTGCACCAGGTGCGGCTGCTTCAGGGGCCAGGGGCGGCTGCTCTGGGTCCAGGGGCGGCTGGACCAGGGGTGGCTGCTTCAGGGGCCAGGGGCGGCTGCTCGGGGTCCAGGGGCGGCTGCTCCAGGGGCGGCTGCTCCAGGGGCGGCTGCTGCAGGGGCCAGGGGCAGCTGCTCTGGGTCCAGGGGCGGCTGCTCGAGGGGCGGCTGCTGTAGGGGCCAGGGGCGGCTGCTCTAGGTCCAGGGGCGGCTGCTCCAGGGGCGGCTGCTGCAGGGGCCAGGGGCGGCTGCTCTGGGTCCAGGGGCGGCTGCTCGAGGGTCCAGGGGCAGCTGCACTGGGTCCAAGGGGCGGCTGCTCGAGGGTCCAGGGGCGGCTGCACCAGGGGCCAGGGGCGGCTGCTCTGGGTCCAGGGGCGGCTGCTCGAGGGTCCAGGGGCGGCTGCACCAGGGGCGGCTGCTTCAGGGGCCAGGGGCGGCTGCTCTGGGTCCAGGGGCGGCTGGACCAGGGGCAGCTGCTGCAGGGGCCAGGGGCGGCTGCTCGGGGTCCAGGGGCGGCTGCTCCAGGGGCGGCTGCTGCAGGGGCGGCTGCTCCAGGGGCGGCTGCTGCAGGGGCCAGGGGCAGCTGCTCTAGGGGCGGCTGCTGCAGGGGCCAGGGGCGGCTGCTCTGGGTCCAGGGGCGGCTGCTCCAGGGGCGGCTGCTGCAGGGGCCAGGGGCGGCTGCTCTGGGTCCAGGGGCAGCTGCTCGAGGGTCCAGGGGCGGCTGCACTGGGTCCAAGGGGCGGCTGCTCGAGGGTCCAGGGGCGGCTGCACCAGGGGCGGCGTAGCTGGTGCAGGGTAGCGCGCGGGTCCCACAGGCGCCGCGACTGGCGACGGGGGGGGGGGGGGGGGGGGGGGGGGGGGGGCAGCGCGCAGGCGGGGCCGCGTCGGCGGCAGGGTGGGGCCGCGACCGCGGCAGGGCGAGGCCGCGTCGGCGGCCGTAGAAAGCAGCTCGAAGGCTGCGAAGCTACGCGCGGGGCAGGAGAAGGCAGCGCGGGGGCTGCGGGGCGGTGCGCGGGCCTGACAGGGCAGCTAGCGGGCTACGCGTGGGGCTGACGAGGCAGCAGGCGGGCTGCTAGCGGGCTGTACGAGGGCCAGCAGAGGCGAGCGCGAGGGCTGCGCGACGTAGGGCAGTGTAGGCAAGGGGCGGGGTAACTCGGTAACCGGCGGAAAACGGTTGGTGGGCCCGAAAAAAAAGTCCTAAAACGGTCCTAGGGACCTATGTCGCTCTTAATACCATGTCGTAAGTAAAGGAAAAAGGGTGGTGGACTATCGAGAGAGTTGGTACAAAATGAAAACCTAAGGGGTTGTACCCACAGTGAGTACCCCACTAAAGCCTACCTAAACTATAACATATAAACATATGTTTGACACTTCCGCCTCCCTTTCTGCCTCTCCTTCCGCTTCCCCCTCGGCCTCCCTCTCCGCCTCCGCGGCTCACCAGCGGAACCCGTCGCTCGGAGAGTGGTCGTGCGCGCACAGGGGGGCCGCTGTGGGCGCTGGTGCTGCTTGCGCCTGCTGCTGCTCCGCCAGGGCCGCCGGTTGCTCCGCTGCTGCCAGTTGCAGGGGCGCGGGGGATGAGGTGGAAAGACAGGGGGGAAGGGACGGGGAAAGATACAGAGGGAGGTCAGCGGAGATGTCAGGGGGAAAATACGAGGGGAGAGCGGGAGAGCGCAAGTGTGCAGGCGATCATGCCTGGGCTAGAGAGGACCAGTGCTCAGGCCTATGTGGGCATATACGCTCTGGACAGCGAACGTCCAGCGTATATGCGCTAGCGTCCGTACGCTGGACGCTAGACGCTCGTCGGACGCTGGACGCTCGGCCAATTTTTTTTGGGGCAGCCCGGGAAGAAAAATTGACCGTCGAAATTTGAAATCGCGATTTCAAATCGAAATTTGAAATCGCGATTTCAGAGCTGGATCTCAAGCGCCAAAACTGAACCAGATCCATCACAATTTCAGAGGCCACCGCACTTCACCCCTTCTTATCTAGCCAACCCAACCCCCCCGTCACGTTCCTAAATAGTCAAGCATCACAATTCCTTCCTCACAATTGCGTTCATTTCTAGCATTTCTCACCTTCTCCAGCAGGCATCCATGGCGGAACCTAGTACCTCAAATGCTGCTAGCGCTCCCTACTCACAGTCCGTGCAGGGCTCGTTTAGCGCTGGTCGTGTGTACGAAGATGATGAAGTTAAGCACCCTACGTTTAAACACTATCGCACATTTACGAAGGCGGGCGTCAAGGGAAAGCAAGTGGAGTGCCGATTCTGCAAGCACACTTTCGCCCACAGCCATAGCCGTTGCGCTAGTCACCTTGCGGAGTGGCCGGGTCAGGGACGACGCGTAGTGAAGCTCTGCACTGCCGTTCCTAAGGAGGTCGCCGACGCAATAAGCAATGCGGCCATCACGAAAACTAACGCGCGGGACGACAAGGCGCGGGCTGAGAATATCGCTGTTGAATCGGTGACTGGGCGGCCTGCAGTGAAGCGGTATGGCGACGATGCTGCTGAGAAGAAGGCCGCGGCTGATGAGTCTGTTTGCCTTTGCGTCGCCGCTCTCCGCATCCCGGAGCGCACCGTGGAGCACCCGCTGTTTCGCCACATGGTGCATTCCATAGCCGCCGCTGGAATCAACTACGTGCCACCCAAGAGGCGCTACGTGGGGGGGGCTGGACTGCAGCGCTGCCGGAAGATGGTTGAGGGTGCGTTGTCTCCAGTGGAAGACAGCTGGAAGCGACTTGGCTTCACTATAGCCAGTGACATGATGACCGATGTGGCAGGCCGGGCGCAAGCGAACATAATGCTCATCAACGACTTTGGCGCGGTCTTCCTTGAGAGCGTCGATTGCGACATGCAGAAGAAAACGGGGACTTACATTGCAGGCATGCTGAAACCGGTGGTGGAGAAGGTTGGGCCGAACAATGTCGTGGCGTTCTGCACTGACGGTGGGAGCAACTACGCCAAGGCTGGCCGCAAGTTGGTGGAGGAATGGCCGCACATCGAGCATGTGCCGTGCGCCACTCACGTCCTCGATTTGATGATGGAAGACTTCGGGAAGCTCACATGGGCTAAGACGGTGGTGGAGAGGACGGATAAGATGAACGCGTTTATCCGCAACCATCACATGACGCGGGCCTTCTTGAGGAACCCAGCAAACCATGGTGGGAAGGGGCTGCAGGCATTGAAACCTGCTGGCACTCGTTTCGGGACACATTACATTTCCGTGTCCCGCTTGTGTGAGTTGCGCGCAAACCTGACGACGATGGTCTGTGACGATGTGTGGGAGGAATGGGCAGTGGGGAAGGTGAAGGAGAGTGCGGATGTGTTCAAAGGGTATGTCCTTGATCCGGCGTGGTGGACAACCGCCGAATTCTTTTGCAAATTGATGAAGCTGCCCTTTTTGGTGATGAGACAGACGCACTCCGCGAAGAAGGGGATGATGGGCCGTATTTATGATCTTATGCTGCAGCTGACCGAGGACATTAACAAGGTCCTGGAAGAGGATGACAAGCAGTTGAGCCAAAAGGACAAGAAGGATATTGCCCGCATTGTGAAGGAACGATGGGATGGGAGCCTCGCATGCGTGCTCCACGTGGCTGGTTGGATTCTAAATCCGGCCAACCAAACTGAGGGAATATTCGGGAAGGATGCAGAGTGCACTCGGGTCATGAAGGGCTGGATGGGGCGCGCGGTTGAGTTCTTGGATGCTGCTGGGGAGGAGGGGGCGGATACAATCATAGAGGGTCTGATGGCATATGTGGATGGTGTGGGGAGCTTTGGGATGCCCCTGGCAAAGGCACATCGGGCAAAGGTGAAGGAGGGGAAGATGGACATGGAGATGTGGTGGGCTTGGAACGGAACCGATAACGTGGCTCTCGCGACACTGGCGCGTCGTGTGCTTGCCCAACCCGTTTCCGCATCCCCTTACGAGCGGGGCTGGTCCACCTGGGATTCCGTGCACACGGCGCGGCGCAACAGGCTGGGTTCTGAGAAATGTCGCGACCTGGTCTATGTAGCCCACAACTGGAATGTGGTGCGGAAGTGGAGCAAGGATTCGGTCGCGGGCAGGGCAATCGTGTCAGGGAACATCCCTGAAGCCCCGATCCCAGAGGGTTACAATGTACCTGAGGAGGGTGAAGACGAAGAGGAGGGGGAGGATGAGGCGGATAGGAAGGTGTTTGCGGATGAGTATCAGTAGATGGCCGAAAGTGTGTGTGTAGAAATATTTATTTGGATAAATCTGTTTTTTTTTTTTTTTTTTTTTTTTGTTATGACATTTTCTCTGGAAATGTATGGTGTTGTGGCAGGTACCCCCCTTTCCCCCCTCTCCCCCCTCTTTTTTTTCCCCTGCCCGGAATTTTTTTTCCCCTGCCCGGCCCAAGCGTCCAGGTCCTGACATCCGAGCGTCCAGCGTATATACGCCAGCGTCTGGACGCTGGCGTATAGGACGCTGGACGCGTCCATGTCCACATAGGCTCAGGCTAAGCGTGGGCATCGGGATTTGCATGACGCTCCTAGTTGTGCTGATGCTTCATCAGCATCATTAGAATCAGCGTCAGTGGCAGTGGCAGCAGCAGCAGTGCCAGCAGCGCAACAGCACGAGGAGGAGGGGAAGGAGGAGATTTCGTCCGTTTGCAGGCTTTCCGCTGTTCGCATGTAGTTTCCCTGCCATCCGGCCCTTATCATTCGTCAGTGTCACTCGTGTCATGTCACCTGTGGCAGCTGCTGTGGCAGCTGACTCACCCGATTCACCTGTGGCAGCTGGCAGCTGTGCTGATTCGTCCACGCACCTCCTCTTCTCACCCTCGTTAATGTCACCTGAAGCATTATCCGCTCAGCCTGCATCCCTACGCCCTTCACTGTCACACCACCGTCTCCGCTTCTCCCCTCTCCTCGCCCTTCTCCTCCCCCTTTCCTCCTCATATCCATTCCTTATCACATTTGCAGCAAGACAGCGCTGTCACCATGGTTCCTCATCCGCCCTCTTGCCCCCGCTGTTCCCTCTCCTCGCCTTCCCTCTTCTCTTTTTACCCCCAGGAGATGTCTCCGGTGTCCCCTCTACAAACATCCACCTTACAAGCTGAGTCGCTACAAGCTGCCTCACTAAAGCGCACAGATTTTTTGTCCTCGTTTGCAGGATTGGGTTCCTCCTCTCCATCCGCAACACCCTCAGCTGTATTATTCGCTCCTGTTTCTACCCCTGCTCTTGTTGTTTCCAAGGGTTATTCTTCTCAACCCTCTTCTCCCTCTGCTGCTGCTGCGGCTACTGATGCTGCTGCAAAACAGGGTCCTTCGAGCAGGGGTTCTGGCACATGCACTCACCAAAATCCTTTTCAGTCGACTCAAATCTCTCCTGATGCTGCTAAACAGGGCAGGCCAAGCATTCGTTCTAGCTCGTACATTCACCAGACCCCCCCCCTGAAAGAAACTGTCTTGGCCCAAGAACTGGATAATGAGGAGGAGGAGGAGGAGGAGGAGGAGGAGGAGGAGGAGGAGGAGGAGGAGGAGGAGGAGGAGGAGGAGGAAGTGGGGATGAAAGAGGAGGGCGATGGTGAAATAGAGAAGAAACTGAAGCAGGAAGTTGTGAGGAGGGAGGGTCGTAGAGGAGAGGGAAGGAGAGAAGACGAGAGGGTGCAGGGAGCAGAGAAGAGGAATGGAGAGCAGAGAAGAGCAGAGGAGAGGAGAGCAGAGGAGAGCAGAGCAGAGCAGAGAAGAGCAGAGCAGAGCAGAGCAGAGGAGAGGAGAGCAGAGGAGAGGAGAGCAGAGGAGAGCAGAGCAGAGAAGAGCAGAGGAGAGAAGAGCAGAGCAGAGGAGAGCAGATCAGAGGAGAGGAGAGCAGAGGAGAGGAGAGCAGAGGAGAGCAGAGCAGAGAAGAGCAGAGGGGAGGAGAGCAGAGCAGCAGTCTTTATTCCATCGCAGAATGTTAGAAACTAGACGAGGGAATGATTGCATTGAGAAGAAAGTTGGTACAAGTACTAACCCTAATTGGGTTGTACTCCTTATGGGCTACCCCACTACAGCCTACACAATATAAACATTATAACAGCTTGACACACCCCCATGCCCATAGGCAAAGTGGGGGAGAACAGGAGGTAACAAGACCAATCAAGAAAAAACAAAGCAAGCTCAGGTTGGATCACTACCGTCATCGCCCGGATAGTAGACAGTGTTGAATAGTAGACAGGGGTTGTCTATTATCTGGGTGTCTCTTATAAACAGGCTAGCCTCATTATAAGACACCTATTTGTGTGTACGAGATAAGACATATATGTCTTATAATCAGAGCAGGGGTTAGGGGTTTTCTTATAAACAGGGGGGGTGTCTTCTAAACGAACATTAGTTACTTTAGGGGGGTACATGTACACATCTATGAATCTCTACTTCTACCTAGCCCTACTCAGTCACGGCCTCCTCACCTGCACTAAGAACAGGCTCCCTAACACCCAGGTCTAGCACTCGTCAGGCATGCCTAGCCGTCTCCCTAGGCTCGATCATGCGGTCAGCCTCAGCCGCCGCTCCGCGGTAGTTGGGGGTCTCCTGGTACAACACATCCAGGCCGGAGGCCACTGCCACCTCCCTAACGCCCTTCGCCTGCATCTCGTCGTCCTCCTCCTCTGGAGCCTGCCCAAGCAGGCGTGTGTTGTCGGCCGTGGTTCCCCCGAGGCACATGTCCTCGGAGACATCGGTGGTGCTCCTGGCGCGCAGGCGAGACATCACCAGGTGGTTCTCTGTCCCGTCCAGCTTGCTTGAAATCCCAGAGTGGCGGAACGCTTCAATGATGACCTTCTTGGGGACTTGATCCCACGCCTCCGCGATCCACTGCAGCACCACGGGGTGCGGAGGCCGCCGCAGGTTCCCTGCGAGTGGGACAGAGGCAGAGGTAGCGAGCTGTTAGAGTCATGGAAAGAGAACAGCGCAGAAGTTTAATTCAATAGGCTACTCACCCGCCTTCGTCTTTAGGTGAATCCCTTCACACATGAACCACCTGGCGTAACGCGCTCACACAGCAGCCTTGAAGCATCGGTTGATGGAGACGTCAAGGGGTTGAATCTGGCTCGTGCAACCCGCTGGGATCACTGCAGGGGTGATGCTGTGCGTGCGGTAAGCTTGAAGCATGGCTTGTGTGATGTGGCCGCGGTAGGAGTCCAACACCAGCATTGCACGCCTCGCGTTCTTGCCGGGCTGGGGGTTCAGATGGGGCAGCACCTCCTTGGTCAGCCAGGTCTTCACGGCGCTCTCGTCCATCCAGTCGTTGTCCTGTGCTTGGCATACGATTCCTGCCAGGCACATAGGGGATAGACGGGCGTCAGCCAAGGAGGGCAAGCTCATCAGGCTTACGGCTCCCGAATTCCTTGAGCTTGCCTTCCGGAATCTCACAGTTGGGCACGTTCTTCAGCTTGAACCAAACCCACGGGCGCAGCTTCTCCCCGGATGCGGTGCATGCGAGCATCACCGTGAGCCGAGTCTTCTCATATCCTGCAGTGCGGATTGGGACCGAGCGCGCGCCACGGTGCTCGATCGTCCTCTCGGCCGGCATCTCAACGAAGAGGGGTGTCTGGTCCGCGTTGATGATGCGGGCCAGGTCGATGTTGTGCCGCGCCCTGTTGATGCGCACGAACTTCCAGAACGACTCGCAGTCCTTAGCGCACTCTGCAAAGGGAACACACGCCACGACAGGAGGGGATGGTTAGAAACAAAGGGCGAGGAACATGCCGTCAAGCATCAAGCGCGAATTCAAAGCCTTTACCACTCACCAGCCGATAACCGTTGGCCGACCTTGGTCTTCACACACATGACCAAGTTCCAGCGGTCACGGAAACGCTGGCTCATGTGAGAGCTCGCGTTCCAGTTCTTGCCGGGATGGTGCTTCTTCATCCACTCGCGGCTCCACTTCTGGGTGTCTTTCACCGAGATCGCCACCCCATTAGCGCGCTGCAGACAAACGTAGCGGTACAACGCCGCCTCCATGTCGGGGTAGTGTGCGTGGCGGCCCCCCCCCGTGCATCCGCTTGCGGCAATTCGCCGCTCCCTTGTAGACGCCCGCAGCTGCCTCCGCACACCAGCGTCTGATGCAGGCGATGGATGCGGTAGATTCCACGGATGTCTTCTTCAAGGAGCCGAGCTCGTGGTAGCGGCGCGCCCACTTGAGCTTCTCGCGTACGGTCCATCCGCGTCGCCTTTTCTTACTGTCCTTGCTGCGAGGGGAAGGTGGACGGGAGTTGGGATTATGGAGGGTGGGGTCTTTCGGCTTCGCCTTCTCAGGGAATGAAGGAATCGGGCCTGCAGCCTCCGCGTAGTCATCGTCGCTGCCGAGCGCCTCGTTGACCACGATGTCGTCCTTGTTTGCCGTTTTCTTCTTCTTCTTAGCAGCACCTGTGCTGGATCCAGGGTCGCCGTCGTTCTTCCGCTTCTTGTGGCTTGTGCGGCAACGAACGGTGGCCTTAGCAGGGGCTTCCGCGACCGCGCCTTTCCCCTTGTCTGCAGCAGTGAAGCGCGGTTGACGCTCCTCCCCCGGACTGTCGTCATCAGAGAGCACCACGCGGGCATGCTTCGGCTTGGATTGTAGGCGATGACGCAGCCTCCGCTTAAGAAGCGGAACATCGTCATCACCCGTGATGTTCCACGGGTCGTCATCGGAGTTTTCACCATCAAATAAGACAGCATCAGCACCTCCATCCGCAGCATCCGTATCCGCCTCCGCCACAGCATCCGCATCCGAATACGCAATTGCGGCCACATCCGCGGGCGCAACAGCATCGGCATCCGCTTCCGCCTCCTCTTCCGTCCTCGCTTCCGCATCCGCCTCGTCGTCAACCTCCGCATTCGCATCCACCGTCGCTCCCGTTGCATGCGCCGCTGCCTCCGCGGGCTCACAATCAGCATCGGCACCCTTTTCGTTGTCCGAATGACCAGCCCGCCATTCTTCCACTTCGTCCTCACTCCCAACCGGCCGATTCCACCAGTCGTCCTCGTCGATGTCGGCAGGAGCTATTTCATCCCCCGAAGCGCTATCGTCGTGGCCGTTCCTCGGCCAATCCTCCTCGACGTCGTCGCCGTGTTCTTCTTCGCCATCGTCGCCGTGTTCTTCGTCGCCGTCGTCGCCGTCACAGCTCGCACCGGAGGCGGCGGTAGATGTTCCTGCCTTGCGCGTATTCTTTGCCATGGCCACACGGATGTCATCACCGGGCGAGTTAATTCGCCCGTAGTTATTCACCTGCACGTGAGGGCGAGGTGAGGACGTGCCTACGGGGAATTTTCTGCGCATGGTTACGGTAAGCCTGCCGAAAGCGAAGGTTGAGTTGAGATCCCAACCTCCTTGAGCACCAAATGAAGCTCAAGCCCGACTACCCCCCCCCCCCAGCCAGAGTGCCCCTTCCAAAGGTGCCGAGCCGCTCCTCTACGAGGAATCTCCTCGTAGAGGACAGCCCTCACGCTGCCATCGTGCTGCCAGCAGCGTTCTGGAAGCATCCATGCGCTGCTGGCAGCAAAACGACGCTGGCAGCATCATTACATGCGGCCAACACGGAGGGATGTTGGCAGCTTTGCTGCATCCCTCACGTGGCAAGTGGGGGCGCTGCATGCATCACCACCGAGGTCGTCCTGTTTCAATGAATCTGGCCCCTGGGTGGTTTCTACACACTTTGCAAATGTTATAGAGTACTTTTTTTTTTCCATTTATAAGACTTATAAGACACCCTAAACCATCCCAAATACAAGAAAACCCAAGCATTTTGAGTAGTGTACGAGATAAAACATATATGTCTACTATCCGAGCGATGACGGTAAGTCACCACGCACTTTGACCACAAGGAAATGACCACAAGGCCAGTTCACATGCATAATTATCTAAACAAGAACAAACAGATCAGTGATCATAACCTAGCAGGGGTAAGCATGCAGGTATATGTATATAGATCACAGTACAAGCAAATTCACCCAGTGAGCAAGTGAGGCAAAGTAAGCACAAGGCCTAAAACAGTACAGAAACGCTGATGATCAACAGGCTGAAGTGCCTTGGTGAATATATCAGCAGTGTCGGCCCGAGTGGCCACGTAAGCAAGACGAAGCTGACCACGCTGCTGCAACTCTCGAGCAAGGAAGTAACGCAGAGCGATGTGCTTCATCGTGTGCTCCAGTTTGTGCTCCTGACACAAGGCAATCATGGCCTTGTAGTCTACGTACAAAACTGGAGGAGAACGAGGCGGCTCTCCCATGTCGGTCAGCAGGTAGGTGAGCCAGCGTAACTCCTATGCAGCCATGGCCCCGGCATAGATCTCAGCCTCACAACTGGAACTGAGAACAGAAGACGAACGGGTAGACCGCCAAGAAATAGAGCAGGAGCAAAAGCTGAAAGTGTAACCCTGTGACGACCGCTGCGTAGCCAAGTCGTCAACCCAAGACGCGTCTGCGTGTCCAGTGAGGACAACTGGACTCCGTCCTCCAAGCACGAGCCCCATGCCCGATGTACTGCACAAGTAGCGCAACACCCTCTTAGCGGCCTCCCATTGCTCTGGTCGGTGTCTTCCGGGCGCAACGTAGCGTGCCAGGATGCTAAGAGGGTAGGCAAGGTCAGGTCGAGTGTGGGTCATCATGTACATGAGGCAGCCCATAAGCTCTGGGTACGGGCCACTCGGCTCTACGGACTCGTCCGAACGTGGAGCTGAGAGCGAGTGATCGGTGGGTAGAGGAGTGGACTGTGGCGAGGAGTACCGGAAGCCGAGGCGCTGAAGGACCTGGTGCACCATGTGTGACTGAGTGAGGGTGATGGTGCGCCGTGCTCTGTCCCAAGTGATCTGCAAGCCAAGATAGCTGCGCCGCTCACCCAGGTCAGTGCAGGTGTGTCTCTTATGCAGCTCCGACTTCACAAGGGCTAGTGCCTCAGTGTCACCAGTGGCGAAAACCAAGTCGTCAACGTAGACGGGGATGTAGAACAGCAGCAGCGAAATGTCGGTGCGCAGAAACAGCGACGGGTCAGCAGTCGAAGGAGCAAACCCAAGAGCCGCAAGCGTCGTCCTCAGTGTGTCGTGCCATTCGCGAGGCGCCTCGTGGAGACCGTAGACTGGCCGCCAGAGGCTCCACTGGGTACCTGCAGGAAACGACCCAGTGAATCCAGGTGGGCGGCGCAGCTAGATCTCCTCGAGCCGCAAGCGTCGTCCTCAGTGTGTCGTGCCATTCGCGAGGCGCCTCGTGGAGACCGTAGACTGGCCGCCAGAGGCTCCACTGGGTACCTGCAGGAAACGACCCAGTGAATCCAGGTGGGCGGCGCAGCCAGATCTCCTCGATCTCCGGCCGGGAGAGGGCTGCCGCGGGTGAGGTCGCGCGCCGGCCGGGAGAGGGCTGCCGCGGGTGAGGTCGCGCGCCGGCCGGGAGAGGGCTGCCGCGGGTGAGGTCGCGCGCCGGCCGGGAGAGGGCTGCCGCGGGTGAGGTCGCGCGCCGGCCGGGAGAGGGCTGCCGCGGGTGAGGTCGCGCGCCGGCCGGGAGAGGAGGGCTGGATGGCCCGAAGGAGGAGGAAGCGAGGGGGAAGGGGGAGGAGGGCTGGATGGCCCGAAGGAGGAGGAAGCGAGGGGGAAGGGGGAGGAGGGCTGGATGGCCCTTAGGAGGAGGAAGCGAGGGGGAAGGGGGAGGAGGGCTGGATGGCCCGAAGGAGGAGGAGGCGAGGGGGAAGGGGGAGGAGGGCTATATGGCCCTTAGGAGGAAGATGCGAGGGGGAAGGGGGAGGAGGGCTGGATGGCCCGAACGAGGAGGAGGCGACGGGGAAGGGGGAGGAGGGCTGGATGGCCCAAACGAGGAGGAGGCGAGGGGGAAGGGGGAGGAGGGCTGGATGGCCCTTAGGAGGAGGAAGCGAGGGGGAAGGGGGAGGAGGGCCGGATGGCCCGAAGGAGGAGGAAGCGACGGGGAAGGGGGAGGGGGGCTGGATGGCCATTAGGAGGAGGAAGCGAGGGGGAAGGGGGAGGAGGGCTGGATGGCCATTAGGAGGAGGAAGCGAGGGGGGAGGGGGAGGAGGGCTGGATGGCCCAAAGTGAGCGCGTTCGGCTAAGGAGGTGATTGCAAACGGCTATGCGAGCAACAACGTTACGTGTAAGCCACTGTGAGCGAGTCGCATTGTCAGCTGTGTCGAAAGGGGCGAGAGAGGCTCCAGACGTGTGGTCAAACAACGAAACGTTGTCTCTAGAATCGCTCAGTAGGTACAGCTCTAAGTCATCGAGCCACGTATCGAACTGGATCGGACGGCCTTCATGATCCAATGTGAGAACGCTGAGAGTAGCCATAGCAGGGTGGCGCGTGACGAGCAAGGCGGCGCGCGGGCACTACAGAAGCGCGCGTGGGCAGATCAGGGTGACGCGGCGGCCAGCAGGGCGGCGTGTGGGCAGGGCAGGGCGGCGCGGCAGGCGGCAGGGCGGCGCGCGGGCAGGGCAGGACGACGCGCGGCGAGCAGGGCGGCGCGCGGGCAAGGCAGGGCGGCGCGAAACCAGCAGGGCGGCGTGACGCGCAGGGCAGGGCGGCGCGCAGCGAGCAAGGCGGCGCGACGGGCATGGCAGGGCAGCGCGCAGCCAGCAGGGCAGCGCGACAGGCAGGGCAGGGCATGGCAGTACGACTGGTGGGGTAGGGTGCTACGGGCAGCGAACTAATCGGTGGGCCCTAAAAAAACGGTCCTAGAACAGGACCTGCTCTGAAACCATGTTAGAAACTAGACGAGGGAATGATTGCATTGAGAAGAAAGTTGGTATAAGTACTAACCCTAATTGGGTTGTACCCCTTATGGGCTACCCCACTACAGCCTACACAATATAAACGTTATAACAGTTTGACACAGAACTCCCTCAGGCCGCCTGGAATACCTTCACATCCCCAAAAAGGGCTCCATCTAACAGCCCTTCTCTCAACCCTTCTTGCAACCCTTCTTGTCAGAATGTTATAGTGCTTACATTTGTGTAGGCTATAGTGGGGTAGCCCATAAGGGTAACAACCCAATTAGGGTTAGTACTTGTACCCAACTCTTTCATAGTTCATTCATTCTCGTTCGTTAGTTTGACATGGTTTCAGAGCAGGTCCTTCGTGAGGACCGATTTTTTTTTTTTTTTTTGGGCCCAATACAGCGCTGCCCCACTAGCCGCCCTGCTGGCTCACGCTCCGCCCCTAGCAACCCTCGTGCCGATCCTGCTGCCCCGCGCGCCGCCCTCGTGCGGCTTGCCCCGTCGACCCTAGGCCCCGCGCGCCCCGTCGACCCTAGGCCCCGGCGCCCCGTCGACCCTAGGCCCCGGCGCCCCCCCCCCCCGTCGACCCTAGGCCCTGGCCCGCCCTGTCGACCCTGGGCCCCGCGCGCCCCGTCGACCCTAGGCCCCGGCCCGCCCCGTCGACTCTAGGCCCGCGCGACCCGTCGACCCTTGGCCTCTGGCCCGCCCCGTCGACCGTAGGCCCCGGCGCCCCGTCGACCCTAAGCCCCGAACCGCTCCGTCGACCCTGGGCCCCGGTGCCCCCCGTCGACCCTAGGCCCCGGCCTGCCCGTCGACCCTAGGCTCCAGCCCGCCCGTCGCCCCTAGGCCTCGGCCCGCTCGTCGACCCAGCTGCCCCGCGCGCCCGCCCGTTGCCCTTAGGCCCGGCCCGCCCGTCGACCCTAGCCCGGCCCGCCCCTCGCCCCTGCAGCCAGCGGGCCGCCCTTGCAGCCCCGCGCGCCACCCCTTGCGGCCCGCCAGACGCCCCTAGGCCCCGCGCGCCACCCTGCTCGCCGCCCTGCTGCCCTGCTCGCCGCCCCTGCAGCCCGCGAGCCGCCCCTGCATCCCCGCGCGCCGCCCCGTGCGGCCCTCTCGCCGCCCCTGCAGCCCCGCCCGCTGCCCCTAGCCGCCTAGCCGTCCCTTGCTGCCCGCTCGCAGCTTGCCTGCGGCCAGATCGCTGCCCTCTTGCGGCCCTGGTGCCTACTAGCCGCCCTGCCTTCCCTCCGTGCTGCCCTACTGGTCGCGCGCCTCCTAGCTTGCCCGCTATGACTTCTCTTTGTCGTAGCGGTGACAGTGGTGACGACGGTGGTGGCAGCAGTGGGAGTCGTGGCGGCCGTACTAGCAGTCGTTGTGGAGCTGTTCGGTGGAGAGTTTCTGGCGGTGGCCAGATGCAGCTTCAGCGGCGTCAACGCGAGTCTCTTCCACCCCAGCAGCTACGTGAGTGGTACGCTAGTAGGAGTGGTGGCGGTGGCACTAGTGGCAATCGCTAAGCAGCTGTTCAGTTGGGAGTTTCTGGCGGTGGCCTGGCGCAGCTGCAGCGGCGTCCGCGCGAGACCCTTATGCCTCAGCAGCTTCGTGAGTGGTACGCTCATCGTGGGGCGTCTCGGAGTAGTGCTCGCTGCCCGTACATCATTCGCACAGGTGCTCGGGCTGGTCAGACTTGCGGGACAGTTGGTCACACACAGTCCAGCTGCTTCTCCTGTCTGAGCGACACCTGGCGTGCAGAGTTTGGCGCCACGGCTGAGCTTCCCCGCTGGCTAGAGCTGCTTTGGCAGGGTGTGGATATCTTTTCTCTAGACTATGACATTATCGTCACTGCCATGTATGCTTTGACTATTGGTACTGAGGGTGCCTGTTCCCTGTGTGTGCTGCCTGACCTAGGTATAGAGGCTGCTGCTCTAGGTGCTAGTGAGTCTGCTCTCCCTGGTACTGTGCCTGCTAAGGCCTTGCACACCTTTACGCTTGACTCAGGTACTTCATGCTGTTTCTTTCGCGACAGCACCACCCTCACTCCTCTCTCTGCACCTGTACCGGTCAGACTGGCTGACCCCTCCGGGGGCCCAGTCCTTGCCCGTTCCTCCACTGTTCTCCCATGTCCGGCGGTTCCGTCCGGCTCACTGTCAGGTCTTCACCTCCCCTCATTCTCTACGAACTTGGTGAGTACCGCTGCCCTCCAGGATGCGATGGTCACTACCACCACTCTTGGGGGTCAGCGTGTGTCAATCTGCACGTGTACACGGACGGGCCGTCACCTGGCCACGTTCACACATCGACCAAGGTCGAGTCTGTACACACTAGCTACTGAGCCTCCTCAGGTAGCTGCGTCTGCCCAGGTGTCCGCGTCAGGTCCAGTAGCACCCCCTTGCTCGTGTAGCCTCCTGACGCACCAGAATCTCCTGTGGCACCACCGCCTTGGTCACCCCTCCCTGCCACGCCTTCGTGGCATGCACTCCCGCCTCCTTGTCTCTGGTCTTCCCAGGTCTCTGCCTCCCCTCCCGCCCTCGCCTGCCCCGCCCTGCCTTCCTTGCGTCGAGGGGCGGCAGCGCGCCGCTCCTCACTCCTCCTCGTTTCCCCCGACGTCTGCTCCCCTGCAGACTCTCCACATGGACGTGTGGGACCTGGCCCGCGTCAGTGGACAGGGCCGCGGGCGCTACTTTCTGCTGGTTGTTGACGACTACACGCGGTACACCACGGTCTTCCCCTTGCGCAGCAAGGGGGAGGTCCCTGATGTCTTGATCCCTTAGATCCGCGCAGTCCGTCTCCAGCTCCGCGAGCGGTTCCGTGCGGACCTTCCTGTCATGCGTCTGCACTCTGACAGAGGTGGTGAGTTCTCCTCCGACCTCTCGCGGGACTTTTGTCGTGGGGAGGGCATTCTCCAGTCGTTCACGGTTCTGGACTCCCCTCAGCAAAATGGGATTGCTGAGCGTCGCATTGGCTTAGTCATGGAGGTCGCTCGTACCTCCATGATCCATGTGGCTGCTCCCCATTTTCTGTGGCCGTTTGCGGTCCAGTACGCTGCGCATCAGCTCAACCTCAGGCCTCGTGTCTCCTTGCCGGAGACCTCGCCTACACTGCATTGGACGGGGAGGTTGGGGATGCGTCGGTGTTCCGGGTCTGGGGTTCTCGTGCCTTTGTTCGCGATACGTCCGCGGACAAGCTCTCCGCCCGCGCTATTCCCTGCGTCTTCCTTGGCTTCCCCCCTGACGCGCTTGGCTGGCAGTTTTACCACCCCACCTCGCGCCGTGTCTTCCCCTCTCAAGACGTCACGTTTGACGAGTCGGTTCCCTTTTACCGTCTCTTCCCCTACCGCTCTGCCCCTCCCCCACCCCCGCCGTTCTTCCTTGCTCCAGGTCCCCCTCCGGTAGACCCCCTCCCCCCCCAAGGGTCCTGCTCCCTCAGGTGTGTCTCAGGTAGACCCTCTCCCTGGTACTGTGTCTGTTGAGGTACCTGTAGCCTCAGGTACTGCTAGAGGTGCTGCGTTTGGGGGTGCTACGTCTAGGGGTGCGGAGCTTGGGGGTACTGAGTCTGAGGGTGCCGGGTCTGGGGGTACTAAGCCTGGGGGTGCGGAGCCTGGGGGTGCTGAGCCTGCGGGTGTGGAGCCTGGGGGTGCTGAGCCTGAGGGTGTGGAGCCTGGGGGTGCTGAGTCTGAGGGTGCGAAGTCTCGGGGTGCTGAGCCTCGGGGTACTGCTTCTTCTGGAGGTCCTGTGGGTGCTTCGCCTCGAGTGTCTCCCCGGCCGGAACCTCTCTCCCCGCAGCAGCTGCGCGAGTGGTTTGCTCAGCGCACACGCCTTCGGAGTGGAGCTGACGGAGCTGGAGACACTGGAGTCGGAGGTACTGCAGCTACTGGTCCTGGAGATGCTTGTACCAGGGGTACTGGAGCTGCCGGGACTTGTAGTGTTGGGGGCGCTGGAGCTGGAGGTTCTGGAGCTGGAGACCCTGCGGAGTCTGGAGGTGCTAAGGCTGGAGACACTGAAGCTAGTGGCGCTGGAGCTGGAGGGGCTGGAGCTGTTGACCCTGGAGCTGTAGGTGCTGGATCTGAGGGTGCTGTGTCTGGAGGTCCTAGTGCTGGAGACACTATGCGGCCGCGACCGTACTTCGTTCCCCTGCTTCAGCAGGTTCTTGGTCTCCCGCCTTCTCCTGTCCTTACTCGTCCCTTACTGTGTCCACCGCCTGACTAGTCACAGCCGCCGTTACAACCAGCCTCCCCACTGCCTGCTCCTTCTCCTTATGCTGAGAAGACCGGAGGCCTTAGAAAGCGTTGTGAGCCTCAGTCTCGTCCTGCCTAGCATGTTCGCTCTATTCCCACTGGTCGTCGCGTTCCTCGTCCGCGTCCTCCTCCTGTCCCTGGCACCCACATTATGGCACTTCGTCCTTCCTCTGTTCCACTGCGTGTTCCTCTGCCTCCTACTGAGTCCTCTCTTCCTGCCGTTCCTGACCCTGAGTCCGACCTTGCCCGTACTGCCAGTCCCACTGTCTCTCGTCTCCTTGCCACTGTTGTCACTGACCCTTCTTTTGAGTCCACTGC